ACAACTATTGCAACATCATGTATCGCAAATAAAGCGCCTTCCGTTTCAGATCTTAGCCCGGCCGATTTAAGAAATGAAAATGTTATCCTGTGCTTAATGAACCAGTGTCAATTAATTGATAGTACTGACCATGTAGCGACTTAGACTTGTGGGTGTTTAAGAAAAGTGCTTGCTCAGATTGCTTTATTACTGTTTTAATGCGTTCTCACTCTAACTTAGTCAACGATTCTGGCTTCTTATTAGGTGAGTCTAAGGTAAGGTTAAGTTCTTCCGCCGCTTTCTCAGCACACCTAAACACAAAGGCACCCACCCCAGACTTTTCGTGGCTGTAAACAATTAGAAGTAAAGGGTCATCAGAGCACACTATCCCGCAGGCTACACTAAGTACCATTCTGTTATGGAAGTTTTCTGGTCCAATCAGGCCCCGACCACCGGACGGGCGGGAAAGATAGAGCCTTGGTACTGAGGAGCGGGGATACAAGATACGATTCATAGTCATTATTTTTCTCGTTGTTCGGTCCAGTTGTTGAAGTTCTATTTGCGTCCATTTGACGGCTGCAAATGTATATGCTACGATTGGGACTGCCATCATATTGGTTGCAAGGATTTTATTGAGGGATGTTCATTGGGAGTTCCAAATTTGCTTAAGTTTGGCTCTGTGGCGAGAGTGCGCTCATTACGCTTGTAGCTGCCTGTAGGTGACGTTGTTCAATACCAAGATATTTGTAGTGTTCGTCATGGCGCAATAGACAAATTATGCTGTCATCAACCAAGTGCTGGTCATCCTGAGCCCTAGGATCTCTGTCCTTTGATAGGTTAATGCGCTCACATACATTTATCGAGCCCAAAACTCATACCGATGTCGGAAGTATACTGTGCTACAGCTCGCAGCGCCTGCTCTAAATGTCGCTCACTTTAGGCATATAGTTTCCGGTCATCAACGTAGAACAAGTGCGTTACTTTAAAGTTCCTACGGCCTAGTGAACCACACAGGTATCCCCCTCCGAATCTTAAAGTCAGAGATAATGGAAATAACGAAACACAGAACAGCAAACCGCTCAGGGAGTCGTCCTGGAAAACACCTCAATGTAGTCTAATGGATTGTGTCACTATTGTTTCGCTGCCCGATTTTTTAAAATATTTTGTCCGCCATTTAGATATTAGATGTTCGACGCCCGAATTATGGCTTTATCTACCGAAAGGCTCTTAAGAAGGTAAATAATTAGATCGTGAGATGTTATGTCAGAGGCTTTTCGGTAGTCAATCCAGGCCATGATAAGTTATTTTTAAACTGAGTACTATCCTGCGTAACACACCTGTCTATCAAAAGATTCTCCGTGCACCCCACGACAACTGCCTACAACGTGTAATGGGTTCAATTTGTCATTGACTACTTCGACTTATGTTTCTCACATGTAGGTTAATAATGCTCGGAAACTACCTATCGAATGTTTTATTCTCACAATTACACACTATCTTAATCATTAAAACTACTGGTATTGCTAATTATTCTTCACTACTTCATTATGTTCGAACACACTGTAACTGCTTAATTGCTTGGTGTAGTTTGCCTGCCCTAAAATAAATGTAAATAAGTGTAAGCCCTTGCATTTTTGCTGCAATTTAGGATGTTACTGCGGAATGCGGTTGGATTGCATGAGACGATCGTCCTGTATTCCTTCTTATTTCTTCTTCTTCTTAGGTTTGAATAACTTGACTTGTAACGTCCCCCATGGAAACATCAACCTCCAAATTTCCTCCCAGTATTATAGCGATAGTATATTTAAGTGTGAAGCTATCATTACATCTGTGGACTTGTCCCTCCTACCAAGGTGAACAACGTTCCTTCCCAGTGGCCCTACCTAGATGGTTTGGACTTAGCCGACCCAGATTTCAGCAATCCAAGTGAAGTGGACATCCTACTCGGCGTTGACTTATTTAGCCAAATGCTCGTTCCAGGTTTTGTGAAAGGACAAAAATGCCCATCGGCATATTCGGTTGGGTACTATTGGGTGGTACCAATAAACCTAGTCCTAAAACCCTTACCTTGCTGACTACCTTAGACTCTCCCGTTAATTCTTTGAACCAGACCTTGAGAAAATTTTGGGAAATTGAATGTGTCCCTACCAAAGTCCCTCTCACCGACGAGGAACAAACATGTGAAGAGATTTTCTCGTCTACCCATGCTAGAGACCCCTCTGGCAAGTATATCGTTAGGCTCCCGTTTCGAGAGACCTCCCCCAACCTCGGTGATTCTAGAAACCAGGCCCTGCACAGGTTTAATTTGTCAGAGGCAAGACTCAACAAAAATCCACGCCTTCGTAACTTGTATAACGAGTTCATGCAAGATTATGCCGACCAGGGTCACATGACCATCAATTCATCCTGCGATTACCCATCGTATTATTTCCCGCACCACTGTGTGATGAAAGACGACAGTGGTTCCACAAAAATTAGAGTTGTGTTTGACGGTTCATCTAAAACTTCCAATGGTTTAAGCTTGAACGATGTTTTATTAGTCGGACCTAAACTACAAAACGACATCGTGAAAGTGTTAATATCATTTAGATTTTTCCCTGTAGTATTTAGTACTGACATCCGTCAGATGTTCCGAAATATTATCGTAAACGAACAAGACATCAAATACCAGAAAATTTTATGGAGATTCAATCCACTTGAACCAATCCGTGAATACCACTTACGCACCGTGACATATGGTTTAAACTGTAGCCCTTACTTGGCAATCAGGACACTGCACCAATTGGTAAACGACCACGGAAAAGACTACCCCCTCGCATCTTCCAGTATCTTAGACTCGTCCTATGTAGATGACTTGATGGGTTTTTCGCTATCCATAGAGCAGGGATTGGAACTTCAAAGACAACTGATTGGGTTGTTAAATTGTGGAGGTTTCGTACTGCGAAAATGGACCTCCAACTGCCAAAAGAGCTTCTTGCGAACATCCCCGAGAGGCATCAACAAAGTATTTCCTTTTCAGATAAGGATACCACAGTCCTTAAAGTATTGGGACTGCAATGGAACCCAGTGTTAGACGTCTTCTCGTACTCCGTTAAACCACTGTCCCGTGATTGTACAAAGAGAGTTATCTTGTCTGAGATCGCTCGGATTTACGATCCTTTGGGCTTCCTGGCGCCAGTAATCCCGGTTGCCAAGTGTTTGATCCAACGTCTGTGGTTGCAGGGTATTTCTTGAGACGACACACCTTCTAGCGACATCGTTACACTGTGGCAACAATACGTTTCGCAACTTCCTATGTTGTCTACCATTTCCATACCCCGTTACGTTTTAAAACACTCCGCTGTTACAACGGAACTGCATGGGTTCTGCGACGCTTCATCGACAGCCTACGGCGGTGCAGTATAAAAACTAAAAACTAAAAACGCTATCCATACCCCGTCTGGAACTGTGTGCGGCCTTGTTGTTAGCAGAACTCATGTGTTTTGTTTCCGACAACTTCAAAACGATAAAAGTCCATAGGATTTTTGCTTGGTCCGATTCTAAAGTAGCTCTTGCCTGGATAAAATCGTGTCCTTCCAAGAGAAAGGTATTCGTAGCCAATCGTGTTACAACTATTCAAGAAAAAATACCACCAGATTGTTGGTACCACATTAATGGTTTGAAAATCCTGCCGATTGTTTGTCCAGAAGTTTGCTTCACAACCAATTCATTGATCATCTCTTGTGGTTCAAAGGTCCACCCTGGTTATCCTCTCCCTCAGAGCTGTGGCCCGTTTTTGACAACTTGCCTCCAGACGAAATCGATACCCCTACAGAAGAGAACCGATTAGCGTTTGTTACCAACCTACCGCCTTTAATCGACGTACAAATCTTACTCAACAGGTTTTCTTCGTTAGACAAAATCCAGAGAATCATCGCCTACTGCCTAAGGTTTTATCGTAGAAAGCGCCACCCTGCCTTTTCATATTTTTCCAAATCCCCCGAAGAGTTATATTTTTCTCTTTGTGTCATGGTTAGAGTGGTGCAGCAAGAGGTTTTCTCTGAAGAATTGAGGAGGATTCTGAAGAACGAACCATGTTCCAAACCCCTTCGTAAACTGGACCCATTCTTAGACACTCTGTACATCCTCAGAGTGGGGGGAAGGTTGCGTCACACGGACTTTGAATACGAAGTCAAGCATTCTATATTGTTACCCCGAGATAATAGAATCACCACATTAATAATAGAGAAATTCCATAAAACTCACGGACACCCAGGTCCTCGCCTACTAGAACATTTGCTAGCCCAGCAGTTCTGGATATTGTCCGTTAAGCGTGCCATCCGCAGTGTGATAGCACATTGCGTCATTTGTGCCAGAACCAACCCCAAACCTTACAGTCCATACATGGGCGACCTGCCCAAGGCCAGGGTCTCGCAGCTCAAACCTTTTTCCCACGTCAGTGTGGACTTCATGGGACCTTTTCAAATTACCTTGGCGAAGCGCAGAGGCGCTAAAAGCCAGAAAGCATACGCATGTATCTTCGTTTGTTTCCCCACCAAGGCGATCAACTTAGAAGCCGTATCTGACCTATCTGTCGAAGCTTTTCTAGCGGCCCTTCGTAGATTCGTAGGCCGAAAAGGTCGGTGCTCTGCCATCTATAGCGACCAGGGAACAAACTTGACCGGTGCTAACAACCTTCTCTCTTCCTACTGCCGCCAGGCAGCGGAACAACTCGCCATCAAATGGTATTTCAACCCCCCAGCTGGGCCACACTTTGGCGGTCTCCATGAATCTGGGGTGAAGTCCACCAAAACCCACCTCCGTAGGATAGTCGGAAACCAAGCCATGACCTTCGAGGAGCTGGCGAAATCGAGGCGATTCTTAACTCGCGACCTTTGTGTTGTGTCAGCCCAGACCCTAACGAACTTCTACCTCTAACGCCAGGCCATTTCCTTACTCTTGAACCCTTGACAGGCCCACCCGACCAAAGCCTCACAGACCAAAAAATTAACCGTCTCACCCGTTGGCAACTAGTGCAACAAATGCATCTGCACTTTTGGCGCCGCTGGCACGTAGAATACCTGCACTCGCTACAACAGAGGGAGAAGTGGAACACCCCCGACAACCCCCCCGAAGGTTGGCACGTTAGTGGTTCTGAGAGACGAAAACTTGCCCCTATTGAGATGGACCCTCGGTCGAGTAGTCCAAATTTACCCAAGTCCTGATAAAATACCGCGAATAGTCCAAGTCAAAGCCGCAAAGGGCCTGCTCGACAGACCACTAGTGAAAGTGTGCCCTTTACCAGCCAACTAGCTAACTTCCCAACAGTGTTTCGTCCTACATACTTGTTTTCAAAAGAGACAATTGATTACATTGAACCAATTGTCACCTGTTCCCCTCCGCTAGGGATACAGGAGTGTTTGCTGCAAATCCGTGCAAGGAGAATTTCGTTTAGTTTCTTCTTATTTGTTACATTTAGTTTTTTTTTTATAAAACATTTTGTATAAAAATTAGTATTTTTATAGTGGGGGGAATGTTCAGAATCCATTGTTTCTATTTTCACAAGTCGGGTTAGAGACCTTTTGGGATCGCTAATTTAAATTTGCGCGTTCGCCCAGTTTCTCAAACCCGCGTAACCCATGTGACGGCTTGTGCGCAACCGCACAGGAAAAGGAGGAAGTTTTTTGACATTGAGATTCAAAAAGACACTTCCGCATGTTACGGCGCCAGAAACAGAGCCGATTCCGCAAGTCCGCGAGTTTTAAGCGCGAGTGCAATAAACGGGGCCCCGTCCGGAACCGACGACACGATAGCCTGCGGTAAGTCTTCACAGAGGGTCGTTGCCTATCGTGTTCGCTTTTTTTACCATTTCGCATCCCAAAAGGGTTAAGCCAACCGTGAACCGTTCGACCCTATTGGAACCCTTAACACGCCGTATTATGCCGTCAAAATGCTTGTTCGGTGGGTAAACCGGATTATTCGACTCTACAACTCGTATCAGCCGATAAGTGGTCGCTATCTACCTGACTTGCCCTGTCTCACCCCCTAAATATAAATAAATTTTAGGTTGTTGGATTTACCCAGTAACAAAAATTATAAAGGTCGTACTTAATTTTTGGGAAGGTCCCGGCAAACACCAAGACATTACTATTTGTTTTAGTTAAGTTTGGTATTAGAAATTAATTTGGCATCATGTCAGCGTGTAAAGCCCCTTTTTTGTAATGAATTAAATAAAATCTTGCTCATTGTTTCAGATTGTGGCAACATGAACTTTTACGCGTACGTTGTTTTCTTAGCACTCCTTTGGAAAAAATCGATATCAGTTAACATCCAGAGCCAGTCTTACGATGTTAACATAGCACTCGGAAAGCATTTGTTCGAGCCGCTGATTGGCAATAAAGCTCCGTATAATGGTAGCGTCACGATCATTTTTACAGTTATTAAGAACGTTACTTTGGTAAAACTGAAATCCTATGCCGATCTAGTCACAATAAAAAATATCACTATCGACGGGACATTACTTGACGAGTCTCAGTACATTGTGAAGATGTCTGGCAAGAGAGTGATCATTCGACACGAATTTCATAAAAATACCGAATATAACCTTTCAATAATATTCAATGGTATAGTAATGACGGACGACGTCGGTCATCCGTTCGCCATTAAACAATCTTCATTTGAAGAGGAGGCCCATCGCACGGTATATATCGTGCAGGCTGTGGGTGCAAGATTTATGCCATTTTTTCCATGGGGAAGAAAAAGGGTCGTTTTCAATATTACCCTCGTTCATCCCCAAGGATACATGGCATTCACTAACGCAGCGTTGATGTCCGAGACTCCGATCGAGGGGCAAGTATATAGTTTAGTATATTGAGGAATTTTTAGGTTTTGGGTTGGTTTTAAGAAATATCAAATTCGTATGTGCTGCACGTTTCGCCAATTTTATTGCTTTCCTTGGGAATCGAAAAGAAGAAGGTCACACATACTTAAAATCGTGCCTTAAAATGCTCATTTATAAAAAAATAAAAACATTTAAAAAAATTAAATGTATATTAAACAATACCGATTACTATTGTTACTCGTTTGCGATCTTTTTCTTAGTTACCTAAAGAAAAAGCAAAAGCATGAACATAATACGCGCGACAATCAATAATTAAGTTTAACGATAAATCGGATTAAAAGCAAACCATACTTAAAATAAGAATGATTATCCGTGTTAATATATGCAGGATGTTTCAAAACACTTGCGAAAATCTAAGGAGTATTCCTTGTTTAAAATAAATGGTAGTTTGTTATATAAACCTTGCGTCCAAAGTCATCCATTAGGGAGAAAGTGCGCTACCAATATATCGGACAAATAATCTTTTTCGTTTTTTATTTTAAAAACGAAAATAAATAGGACAATTAAATATTACTAAATATTATAAAAACAAACTTTCTGCATATTTTTTTAAATGAGTGGAAGGGATTGAATTAGACTAACTCTATCATTTGTCTCAAGTAAGTTTAAGGAAAAAAATATGCAATGACATGCAAAAATATTAATTTCGATATATGCGTTTTTTTAAAGACGATCCCTGCATTTTTTTATAAAAATTATTTCCGTAATAAGGCATAAAAAATATTTAACTTTGGTGTTGTCGAACAGTAGTAGTTTGTACCAATATTTATAATTCTATTAATACAAATTTTTAGTGATCTCAAGTATAAACTGTGTGTAATACTTTCTTTAAAAATATTTCATTTAAACAATTTAACTTAAATAAAAAACACAAAAAATAAGGACCTAAGTCTGAACAAAAACATGATTTTTGCTGAAATAGTTAAATATGCTTGCACAATTCATGCATTTATTTTACGCATCATTAAGTCCATAATATGCTGAAAGTTTCCTCGTTTATTTTTTATGAAATTAAAAGACGCCATCTTCCGATTTCTTAGGTCATCGACATCCCGTATTGGGGTATTGTCGCGTTTAGCTGACAATCAAGATAAACACAGGATACATTTCCTAGCAAAAGATCAATAGGAGGCACCAGATAATCTTATAAGTCGAAAATGTGACTCAAAATAAATAAGAACTAAAAGTTCAGATTTTCACGAAATTATATCTTATGACATGACAATTGTTTCGACAACACCGTATCTTTATCAAATGTAATATTTACAAACTACCTGCTACTATATATACCCAAAAATGACCATAAAACCTTAATTAATGTTGTTGCGAGAATTTAAGTTCAATAAAGGAGAGTTAGAGCGAGGTGGATTTTACAAAATTTGCAATAAAAAATTCTTTTGAATTAATCAACAAAATTAAAGATATCAAAATCCCTTCTAACGCAAATCTATTGTCTTTTGATGTACAAAACTTATTTCCCAGTATTCCACCTATGGATGTGATAGATTTAGCAGATTTCACCCTAACTCGGAAACAGGTTAACCCATTGGTGAAACAAGATTTTTAGATTGCTTAATAGTATCTTTAGACCAAAATTATTTTGAATTTAATGGACAGATTTATATCTCTAAAGAAGGTTTGATTAAGGGAAACCCACTTAGTTCTTTGTTAGCCGAGATTTTTATGGATAATTTGGTAAATATCATACTAGAACATCCTTTAAGCAAAAGTTTTTTATGGTGGTATAGATATGTGGACGATGTCTTTGCTTCCTTTGTTGGAACGGACAGACAATTGAATTCTTTTTTAAATTACATTAACTCAATACATAATCGTATAAAATTCACTATCGAGATTGAACAGGATAACTCTATTAATTTTTTAGACTTAACTATTACGAAAGTGCAAAACAAATTAGATATTTCAATATATCATAAACATTCACACACGGACACAGTCATACATAACAGCTCAAATCACCCTTATACACACAAAATGGTTGTATTTAACTCTTTTATAGATAAAATTATAAATAAAAAACAAATACAGACAACAGTAAACTCTATTTATCCGAAACCAAATACAGAACACGAACAATTTAAAACAATTACATACATAGGAGAACCTAGCGAAAAAGTTTCAAAACATTTGTCAAAATGTGGTTTAAAAATAGCTTTTAGAACTAACACAATAGGAAAATATTTAAAAAACAATAAATCGAAAGATCCATAATCGTATAAAATTCACTATCGAGATTGAACAGAATAACTCTATTAATTTTTTAGACTTAACTATTACGAAAGTGCAAAACAAATTAGATTTTTCAATATATCATAAACCTTCACACAAGGACACAGTCATACATAACAGCTCAAATCACCCTTATACCCACAAAATGGCTACATTTAACTCTTTTATACACAGACTTCTTAATACGTCACTCTCAACAGAAAATTACAACAAAGAACTTAATATCATTAAACAAATTGTACTGAACAACGGCTACAATCCGTCCATTATAGATAAAATTATAAATAAAAAACAAGTACAGATAACAGTAAACTCTATTTATCCGAAACCTAATACAGAACACGAACAAATTAAAACAATTACATACATAGGAGAACCTAGTGAAAAAATTTCAAAACATTTGTCAAAATGTGGTTTAAAATTAGCTTTCAGAAGTAACAACACAATAGGAAAATATTTAAAAAACAATAAATCGAAATGCTCAAAATCCTAAAATTCAGGTGTCTACAGGTTGAAATGTGGATCTTGTCCTAAAATTTATATTGGACAAACAGGTAGATCCTTCAAGAAACGCATTAACGAACATATAAGAGCGTTTAAAAACAATAGTCTAGATTCTAATTATGCTACACACTTAAACACATAAAAACACATTTTTGACGTAAATTTTGATATTTTACACACAGCCACAAAAAGTAGAAAATTAAATTTATTGGAAGACATGGAGATCAACAAAATGAGACATTCAAATGTATTGCTTAACGATCAATTAGATTTAAAGACCTCTCTATTGAACTTAAATTCTCGCAACAACATTATTTAAGGTTTTATGGTCATTTTTCAGTATATATAGTAGCAGGTAGTTTGTAAATATTACATTTGATAAAGACACAGTGTCGTCGAAACAATTGTCATGTAATAATATATAATTTCGTGAAAATCTGAACTTTTAGTTCTTATTTATTCTGATAAATGGATTTTCATCAAGTAAAAGCCACCTCAGTTCAAATGTGACTCACTTAAATGATTATCTATAATTCTACACAAAACATTCACGGCAAGCTGATGTTGATATCTATATTCCGTTATTGAATTATTATTAGATCGTTAGTAATTAGTGCAAGTGCAAATGACATGTTAAAATGTAACAAATGTCTCTGTGAATTTAATAAAAACGAAGTCATTATAACCTGAAGAGGCATCGGCGACCAAATGCTACATAAACACTGCACATCTTTAGGCCGAAAAGAAAGTTATTGCTATAAACGCCTTGTTTATAGTGGTTTTGTGATGAGTGCACTAAAAATTCCACCATGTTAGCTGTTTTATTCAGAACTAAAAAGCTGTAAGTAAGCAAACTTTAAATATGCACAAACAGAATGAAAAAATTTGACGGATAGAAAATTGTGTAAAAAATACAATAACTAATGTCAAACAGAATATTCGGCAAACCACATCTCAGAAGCCATCTATTGAATCTATTCAATCAGAGCAGATAATTAATTCGTAAGAGAAAGGGAACGTTAAACGCTCAACCAGAGCAGAGTATTGACTCTCAAGGGAAAGAAAACACTATTACCAAGCGGAGAGTACCCATAACGTCAACATAATATATTGAAGTAGCGAAAACTCAACAACAAACACTTGACAAGGGACAAAAAAAGCACACAAAAATAAAAAATTTCTTACAACCGCAAGACATCCTGATAGATATTCCAGGCAGTACGTGGAAGGCAGTGAAAGCTCGTCCGATAACACATTAAATTTGAAATTGATTTAGGAAGCCAGCACACAGCCGAAGTAGATTTTTTTAAATCTTGCTATAGTAGAAGCAAACTGAACGTAATGCATCTAAACATTCAAGTTTTATCTTTGGATAAGCTGACAAATTTCATCATGATATCGACATATGCCGAATTTCATAACACTGAGGTGACCAGGAATAACATTTCGGGTAATATAAGGTGGCCAATTGTTAGGTAAGAAACAATTACAGGTAGGTATTATTATAAAAAAAATCTTGGGTTTTTAACAAAATACAAATACATGATATAATACAAAATAAAATTTCCGAAATTAATGTCATAGAATTAAAGTTGGGACATTTTAAAATTTACGTCTGCTCTCTCTTAAAGCCTGTGTTAACTTATTTTTGGGAAAATTAACAATTTTTCTGGATAAATCATATAACCTCGAACACCGACACCTTATTTGCGCAGATGTGAAAGTGGGTTTAGAATGAAATGAAGAATGTAAACTCCTAAAAAAGATCCCATCCAAATTTAATTTAATACATACCATATAAATAACCAGCCGACTAACGGCAAATTACACGACACTGCTCTATCGGATTGCACTTACCAGATCATTTCCCTGTTCACAACCGAAGTATATCCTACTCACACTCCTAGCAATAAAGATGCAATAAGGAATTTTAAAGAGGTGATCAGTCGGATTCAGCGGTTTGGCATCCTCGGTAGCGAAAATAAAGTCATCACGGTTTTCATGTTCGTCCGAACTTCCTACAACGGGCCCACAAGCAACGGGGCCCCGTGGCGGAGTACCCCCTAGAAAGTGGGTTAGGTTATGTTCGTCCAAACTCTCCTTATGCATCTACTAACGGCATCAATAAGTCTCTGTCAAGTTGCCGGTGCGTTAGTAAACCCGAACGGCATTCGCTTGAACTGAAAAAGTCGCCGTTGTGGTACAGTAAATGGTATACTCTCGACTTTTGTGGGGAAATTTAATATATGGAATTTAATTGTAATTGAAAAGGAGAGTTCAAAGGACGGTGACCGCGCATGCGCGTTTAAATGACTAGTTTCGTTATTTTTTTTTTCATCGAAATTTTAGAAGCTCCTGTTTTATCAGCTTAGGCAGGACCTCTATGCGTCGAGTAGTGATGTGTTCACGCAGCATTTTTCTTAAGGTAATAGAACTTCCGCGATCCCACATACCAAAAGTATTTGCAATTACTGTTTAGTTTCGTGTAAGGACAGACCAGTTACAATGCAATAAAAATAATTTTATTGATTTTATTAATATTCATTTCATTTCATTTGGATCTGCCTGCACTTTATATGAGATAATTTATTCAAAACCACTTTTGTTGCAGCAACATGGTGAAGAGGAAATTTTGGTCGACACCTCTGTTGCGATTCGACTTCTTAGTTTTCATAGTTTCAAATATTTTCGATTGTGATGAGGCGGAACCTGTGAACGGAATCAATATCAGAGTGTGTTCGCGCAAGAAGTTGGCAAATGATCGAGCCTGGGCAGTGAAGTACATACCGACCATTGTTTCGTTGTTTGACAGATTTATGAACTATAGTCTTGCGATGCATAACAACGTCAAGAAGCTAGACTTTGTCGCTCTACCTGGTGACCAAAACGAAGCCCTAAGTTACTGGGGTCTGATGACGTTTGGGTAATATATTTTCTTTACTTTAGGTTTCCTGAAACTTCTCAGTTTAAAATTAATTCCTTCCAAGGAACACTGAAGAATTCCAGTGGAATTCCAAGGGATTCAGAAGAATTCCAGTGGAATTCAAAATTAATTCAGAAGAATTCCAGAATTTCAAGGGATTCAGAAAAATTCCAGAGGAATTTCAAGGGAATCAGAAGAATTGCACTAGAATACCAATTAGTTCGATCACCATATTGATCATTTTTGGTTTCCAAATATGTTTTTCTTGGTATATAATACTATTTACAAAACTTCTGGATTTCTCCTCCGTCGGTTGTCGTTGAGTCGAACTTGATGACGTTTCGCCATTGGCTCTCTAGTGGGGATTCTAGACTTCTAGAAATTAAAATCTATACATTCTATGCCACGGTTTTTTAATTTAAATTTGAAAATTGGAATGATAATATACATAAAACAGTAAAACAGCGAGCAGGTCGTAACTATGCCCTAGTAGGAGTGGTCTGCGACAGAATGTACCAGAATTATATATATATATATATATATATATATATATATATATATATATATATATATATATATATATATATATATATATATATATATATATATATATATATATATATATATATATATATATATATATATATATATATATATATATAATGTGTGAATTTTTATTGGATGTAGTTTCTTGGACAGTCGCGTGTATATTTTTGTTCAATTTGTCTTGGGTAATGTGATTCTTCTAAGTATTTATTAACTTTTCGATCGTAATTTCGATTATTTTCTAAATATTGTTATTTTGTATAGATGACATATATAACAATTGATGATTTTTGACGTATGTATATATGTAAATCAATTGTTATATATGTCATCTATATAAAATAAGAATATTTTGAAAAAGATCGAAATTACGATCGAAACGTTAATAAATATTTAGAAGAATCATATTAATTGTTTTCGAGAGACTATATACATATATATACAGGACTAGCTGACAGCTCGGTCTTGTGGGGCAAAAGAAAGAGCAACAACAAAAAAAAAATAATAAGTAAAAATTTAATAAGTTGTAGGTAATGAAAATTTTGGTAGTAAACTACCTAGGAGGAAAAGAACTACTAAACTACCCCCGAACCTTCGTGATTACGTCGGCTTGCACTTGTGCATTAAGCCCAATAATATTATCCGCGGATAGAATCCACGCAGGCAAATAAATTTAGACAGAAAGAGAAAAAAGAAAAATTTATATCGTTACTAAATTTGAATACTAATAATAATAATAATAATAATAAAACGAAAAATAAACTCAACGACGGTGAGAGTTGCGGGAAGATCAAAACCTGGATGCTAGGATTGGGAAGCTTACATCCGTCTAATCAAGAAACCACTCTGATATTTGGTGGCTTGGCGAGGAGGAATTGACTTTAATCTAAAACACGCAAGTAACAGAAATAAGTTAAAGTTAAAGCAAACCCAAAACGCAAGATAAGGCACTACGACCAAATTAAAAAGCAGCAAACGGGTTCCAAATCCCTAAAATAGGTACAACTTCCACTGTTGCTTGCAGAACCTCGACCAACAGAAAAGTGGAGCCCGAAAATCGCGCGATTTGCGTAGTTAGACCAAAGAACAAAATAGATAGGGTTGTGCTCTGCTAACGAATCGACATGGCTAATAAAGACTGTATGTAACAATTGATTGTCAATTTATGCATCAGCCCTACAAGTAACCAAAGTAACTTATCGGGTGATACCATCTGATTCGAATGTAATTATTAGTAAAAAAAGGATTGCAAAGAAATATTAAATTATGAGCTGCTAATAAATGGCATGAAGGTAGTTACGGTATTTAGGGAGGGAAATACAACTCCTCCGACCATGCATAAATGCGAAACTTAACGCGCTTTTCTGGTTGAATACTAGACGTAGCGGTAACCAACGAAGATCACGTACCAGCTGATGACGTATGAATAAATAACTTCTTGGTGAGATCGATCAATGTTAACCAATGTTATTCAATAATAACAATAATATTCAATAAAACAAACAGCCGTATGCAAGTAAGCAATTTTGATTTTACTTGCCAGTGAAGCGTCAAGAATAATTGCTGATTCTAGCGTATTTCATTACAGCTAGAACAACAGCACAACAATAATAATGTGAAAAGAGTCTTTTCGATAACGTGCCGCTATACGATTACGTGTGTATACATCCGAACACAGAGGTAAAGGATAACATTCGCAAGGTAAAATCACTGGTAAAAAGCAGTATCTGTAAGTAACAACTGATTTATCTTGCCAGAGAGAAAGAATAAAGCAATCAGAAACATAAAGTAAGATTGACTTGACGTAAAGTACCAAACACACTAGAATGGAATTAGGACGAGAAGCCTGATTTAATTAATAAAACCCAAATTCACAGGTAATTCTTTACTTTACTGGAAATATGACCTAAGGTTCTTTTTACCTTACCTTACCTTACCTTTAAATTAGACACTAATACCAATCTCCCCTTCTTAGATATTCTTATCAATAGAAAATCAGACCTAACATTGGGTCATTTTGTTTTCAAAAAACGTATGCACACATACTTTAATGCATTGTCATATCAACATTCGGCCCAGAAATAATCGGTTATCAACTCTGTTTCTTAGAGGGTCTTAAAACTATCTTAGCCCGAGTCACTGAGCCTAGAATTAAAACACCTTACATCTACTCTTCTCCCTAATAATTTTCCTATTAGAGATCACAAAATACACTTTAGCACAACCTTCCAAAGATAATGCCCCCTATTCAACTCCCCCCCTCAAACAATGTATAAGCCAGTACAGAGTAGAATGCGAGCCAGTTTCAGTTAAACTCTGATGAAGTCAAGAGAATTATTGGCGAAACGTCAGTCAGTTCGACTCAACAACAACCATAGTATATTTTTAGGTTTTAGAATAAATATTTTTGGAAGAAAAAAGAAGCCACTGATTAACTAAACAAATTATTGTCCAAATCCTCTTACAGTTTGAAGTAAATTTGGTCTCTTAATAGTAAACTTAACAAAACTAATTACTATATATTTTTTAAGATGATTCAAATACAAACTAACTCGTGTAAGCTGAATGGGTTTTTAGTGTTTTCAGCCTTTCCTAAAAATTGTAGCTTTTGATTTTCTTCGGTTTTTCAAATAAGTTGTTACTTTTAAATATTGGTTTTGTTTTTATCTTAACGACCTTTCCAATTTAAATATAAACGCGACAAACTAAACCTTGGTATTGTCAAGAAGTGAAAGAACTCGCAGAACTAAAAGGAAGAAACTACCTAGCATACAAAGGATCCCCAACCCAACAACGACATGCGGAATATATACAGACAAGAAATAGAGTCAACTCACGAATCAAAACCATCAAAAGCGAACACTGCATTAAATTCACGAGCGACATGGATCACGACATATATGGCGCCCAAAGCAAAGTGGGGAAGATGTTGAAAAACGGAAAGAAACCGGTCAACGAATTCGTCCAAAGTAAAGGAGTCTCAACAGAAACGTGGGAAGAATACTTCGAAAGACTGTCTAGCACCAATGAAACACATGAAATTGAATATCAAATCAAACAGCAGCCAGCGCAACGGTTTCAAAGGCGGAAGTAAAAGAAAAACTAAGGAAAGCTAAAAACAGAAAAGCACCAGGTACGGATAACATACCAAACGAACTCCTAAACACGGTGGACATAAACTTATAAGAACACTCACATCACTGTTTAATAAAATCCTGAGCACAGGAGAAATACCAAACGAATGGCACACGAGCATAACAATTCCCATCTTCAAGAAAGGACAAAAAACATCCCCTGATAACTGCAGAGGAATACCCTACTGTGTACAACAATGAAACTGTTCACAGCCCTGATAAAAGACAAACTGGAGAATCACATAACCAATAGGGAAGAACAACAGGGATTTAGAAAGGGAAGATCCACAACCGACGCAATATTTACTACTAAACAAATAAATGAAAAGGCAATATAATATAATACACCAGCATTCATTTGTTTCATCGACCTAACTAAAGCATTTGTCAAGGTCAATATACTAAAGGAAAAAGAAACACCAGCCAACATAGTAAAGGTAATCTGCAACCTCAACACCGACAACTCCACTCAAATTAAATCAGAACAACATATTACGAAAAGCATCCTAACACCAGGAGGAATTAGACAGGGAGACAGCCTCAGCCCACTCTTATTTAATCTTCTTATGGACAAAATCATAGAAGAAGTAGCAACCTTAAATATGGGATACAGAATGAGCAACAAACGTATCAACATTGTATGCTACGCCGACGATGCAGCAATTTTCGCAGAATACGAGAACGACCTACAAAGACAGCCATTCCAATCAGATGCAAGCTCGTAATTGAAGAAATTGAAGATAAGCCCATAGAATAGGTAATGCAATTTAAGTACCTTGGGATGAACATGTCTAGCGGCCACGACCCAACAAAAGATCTAAGGGACCAAATCAACAAAGCATCAGCAAAACATGCGTTAGACCAATAATGACGTACGCGATAGAAACAAGAGAAGACACGAACAAAACAAAGAGAATGCTACGCGTAGCCGAGATGAGGGTGCTGAGATCAATAACTGGCAAAACCAGAAGACATAAGAGAACAATGCGACGTACAGGATATTGTAAGATGGGGAAGGTAGAGAAGAAGGCAATGGTCACGTCAAGAGGATGGGCGAAGATAGATTACCCCGCATAGCTCTCGAGGGAATACAATAGACAGTCCACATCTCAAGAATTAATACAACGGCAAGCCCGGAATTAACAGATCATTTGATCTCAACCAAGTAGAAGAAGACGAAGAAGAAGACCTTTCCAATAAATGTGTCCGATATGTACTATAATCAATGTCAATCAATGTTTTAATTGTTTCTTCTATTGCTTTTATGTGGTTTGTCACATGATCAACACGACCAAATATTTTTTATTCTGTGAATATCCA